TGTACATTTTAAAGTTGTAGATTTCTTTTCCTTTTTCCTTTTTTGGGCATAAGACTTCGTGTCATGGGCCCTGGTGTACATACTATTATTCAGGCTGTTCTTTATGAATAAAGCCCTTGCCACCTCACATGTCGAAGAATTAACTTACATTTCCTAAACTGTCCTTTAACTCAAGCTACTTACAGTCTGTGCACTATTATTTACTTTGTGGTTATCGTTCAGTTATCTAGGAGAATTCAATAGTACATCAATGCGACGAAATGTCGTTCGATGAAATTACTTTCGATGAAAAGTCGTTCGACGAAAAATCCATGCGATCAAAAGTCCGTGGGATGAAAAATCTTTGGATGATTTGTCGTGGACTCAATGTCCAGTCTTGTAACGTCCAATTTTGCGATCATCTGGACTAGTCTAAAGTGTGATGATGTTCAACTGAAGAACGCTAAAAAGACAAATTATACTGTGAATACATCTATAACGTGCTCATTCCACGACAGAATAGACATTAATTTTACTCCCAAAAGTATTACTGTTTTGTCCCGTTTTATGATCGAGTTATTGATGGAAAAACTCAGATGATCTGCTATAGATTGGTCGCGATTTGTGAAGGAAATCCACGCGCATTTAGAATAGTTTAGGGACATGAGATTCAGTTGGCACCACTCCTTAATTTTATCGATGAAAGTCTGGCATTCGACCATCGGACATAACAGCGAGCAGTCGTCAGTAAACACATCGATATATCAATCTGATGTAATGATTTGTATAAAGTCGATGTATTTTTAGTTTTCTAAGGCTGAAGATAATTATAGCATTTGTAATCGAAAGCTTTTGAAATATTATGCTAGCAAAGTAATGCTTGTGACCGATTCAATATGAACTATACTAGAAAATCCTATTTTTTCATTAGATTGGATACAACATATTCAAAACCTCAGCAGTTACAGAGAGCAAAACGAACAGTATTCCCTAGAGGAAATATGACATTTTTTTTATAAAAGAATATCATCTCAACCGCCATATAAAACATCTACTTTTCAGATAAATTGTTCAGATTGGCATTTACCTCTGATAGAACTCGCCTTTTAAAAAAAGCACATTATGAAGTGTGTAAGTGCGTTTTGGAGTGCCAATACATTTTTAGTAGTGTCGATACCCATTTCGAAAAAAGATATTTTTAATTCGACTGACGTTCATTAGTGATGTAGACCACCCATCATTGTTTTTCCATCGTATGTCCTATTGGAGACGAATTTAATTTATTCTTAAAAAGAATAAATTTATACAAGGACAATTTTGATCCTAATCAATTACGCATGTGTCCTTCTCGATCGCTTTATGGAAAAAACTTCAACACTTTCTAAAACTGATTAAACCACTGTTTATTTTACAAGGTTAAAGTGTCTCCTGTTACAATAATTCTCAACGTTTGAAATTATAATTCAAAAAGTTAAGTTTTATTCATTTCCTAGCAAGTCAAAGTTGATGGACTCCAAAATTTTTTATGTGCGGCAATTTGCCTCAAGCATACTACAAAATGGAGCTACTGAAAATAATAGATCTTTATAGTTACTAGAAGAACAGTCTGTGTCCTGGTTTGAATACTCAAAAACTCGTAGGTGGCAATATGAAATAGACGGAAAACGTGCGTCAACAGAAGCGACCAGAAGCAAGAAATTCGTACAGAGGACTGTCAGATAAACGGGTATGTTTTGAGGCGAATCGAGTCAAATAAAATTTGAATATGTATGTCTCTGAAAGTAGTAAAAACAAACGGAACGCATCTTTTTACTTTGCACTGAAGTGTTTACTTTGGATACGTCTTCAGCGTGGCAATCTATGATGGATTTAATTTTTTCTCATTACTCTTGAATCTTTCATCTTTCTTACCTAATATCATGTCGAGAATAGTAGCTTTTGTTAGTCGAGTTCAGGCAAATGTGCGCCGCACAAGAGATATTGGCGTTACATCAACCAAAATCAAGGATAAAGTTGGTTCAGAGAATTGGAAAATGCACTGTTTTAAATCATAGTACCGTGACTAGACATGGACCAGATAGGGACTAATAATATATCATCGGGATTGAGACCCCAGAGAGCTGAAGTTTCCAGTTTCCGAAAGAGGACCGCTGGGGACGTCCCACTATGGTAAAATCGGTGTTTATCTAAGTTTTGTGTGGAAATCTAACATCAATTTTTCCATGAAATATTTTCTGCTTAACTCCCACACGAAGCTTAGGAAAATTCCTTGTCTCATATGTGTACATAGATTTTTATTATCCGTTGTGCCTATCCTTCTACTCTCTTGTGTCTGACATCTACTGCTTTCTAATAATTTCACTTTTTGGTAGATCGAATACTTTCTCCTATCCAGAGAACTACCGTAGTCCCGATGAATCTTTTCGTTCCCACCTCAATCGAATCAGCTTCACTTTTGCTTTTCGTAAAGAACGAAACTTCATTTCTTTTTAGATCCTGTGATCATGACGTCCGATTCGAAGCAAGAAACAAAATGTTCAAGTACACATTTGGACATTGGGAATGATGATTCTAAATGATTCTACAATACGACTGGCGTCAGTCGGAATATGAGCACATGATAATCTCAATTTACATTATGAGTATCTCCCGGCTTGAAGGTATGCAAATAAAGTGCGATGAGTTTTTATTTGACATTGGAAGTACAGTGATTTCAATTTTTTTTAGAAAAGATTTTAATTAATCCTTCATTAAACGAATAAATACTGCTTTTCTTCATTTTTAACGGTGTTTCTCTTCACAATTTTTCAAATAGAATGCTCAAATTAGGCGCTTGCCATTGAAAATAAATTGTATGAAATTCCATTTGGTTCAGGTTTACTATATAGTACGACTACATTACCCGACCAGTAATCGATTATTGTATATTACGAAGTCTCTGTATCTTTACCGGTAGTTTTCAGTAGATGGAAGCCGGATAACGACATCTAGCGATCAAACGTTTAGTTTAAAGGCGTATTTTTGTTATAAAAAATTGTACCATATGTTGAAGATCTTTAAATGATGAACTGGTGATTAGTTCAAAAGGATAGGTGAGAATTTTTAAAAGTGGCCATGATCTTGTTTCAGAGTGGCTTATTCCTCACTCAATCAGTGAACCAAATGGATGCGTCATGAGCACAAACGAGCAGAAGAAGGGAGAAAGTGGGCACAGCTTCGTTTTTTTTTTATCGTTCTATCTTTCTGGTGTACAATTTTTCTCTTTTGTTTTCAAAGTAGTTACCAGAGAACTTTATTTCGTCGTTACCATTGCAACTTTATTAGCTTCGTGTTTCGTAGTTGTTAACATAAAAATGCCGTCGTTTCTCAATCAGATAAAACAATTATTACGACCAGCTAGCAGCACCATGAATTTATGTAATAATTATACGTATGTTGAGGAAGAAAACATTTCCAAATCATTGATATGTAGGTTGATTTGTCGTTCTTTTTAGTGGAACTAATTCATCTTATATTTGGATTGTTTAGGTCCCATTTGTTTGGACCCACTAATTGATCCGTATACGCATACGTCTTGTGATAATTCATTTTGTAACAAATGTATTAAAAAACTTCGAACATGTCCATTTTGTCGATCAACTATTTTAAATTCAACAAATCTCAAAATGACAAATCGTGCACTACGAAATATCTTAGATGAATTGGCCGTTCAATGTAATGTTTGCAAACAAATTTTACAACGTGGAGATTTTTCCTATCATTGTAAAGAAAATTGTCTACCACGTTCATTTATAACACATCATCAAGAAGAAGAAATAGCAGCTATGTCTGAAATTTGTAAAACAACATTAGGCGATAGAGAAAGTGGATTAACTCGTGATGAATATGATCAACATCTTTCAAATGTATATCGAAGAATACATAAATTAGAAACCGAATTATTTGAATTAAAGAAAGCTATTTATTTTTGTATATTTGTTATTGCTTGTCTATTGACAATCATTTTTTTTGGTTCAATGTTAACCTTTCTGATATATTCATTTTTCACTATTAGTCTCACTGTTTGGATACCAACAGTATTTAAATTTATCTCAACAATTCTTTTTGACTTTTCACCAAGTATCACATTATTAAAAATATTTTTTACTATTTTATTTTTAATCATTTGTCATCAACGACATCCATCTGATATTAGTTTATTGACTATAATTATTTGTTCATCGATTGTATTATTTAATGGACTTATATTTATCGGTTATATAATAATCAATCATTCTTTTGTAACTATGACAATAATACTAACAATAGCGCTAAGTAAATATTATGCAATTCAAATACCTTCAACACAACAAATAAATCGTTTTATTAACGATTTAAGACAATCTCAACGATAGACGATTATTAGTATAAAATATCGAAATTTCAGTAATCTAAGGGAAAGGTGCATGATTATCCACAATATCCAAATTCAAAGAAAATTGTCGATACTCCAAAATGCAGGAGTTGTTTATATTTTCGGCAAAACAGCTGTGTAATCGATTTTCTTTTTTCTTTTTATCTCAACGTTTCAAACTGATAATCATATGTTTAGCATAGATTTTTTTCTGAATCTAAATATCTTTCTAGTCGAAACAGTTCACTTTTATTCAGATAAAAATTATTCTAACTGATTGTAAGTTAAAGAAAAACTCTTACTTTGAATCAATTAGTTTTACTGATTTTCAACGTGCCATCATGTTTCTTTTTTGTTTTGATTGTCCGAATAACTGGTTTATTCTCGACTAATGGAAAGTTGTTTGTGTTTTTAGTTATTCTTTTTATTTATCATATTGATCCGTTTTATTTACTTATTTGTGTTGTCGAAGTTGTTTTTTTGTAAATATATTGTAGGTTTTTGCCGTTTCTTGTATCAGATAAGAAGCACTTAGGTAGACTCTTATATGCCACATGTTAACTGCAGAATTTTATTTTTATCATATTTCGATTTTAATTGATCACGTGATTTTATCAATAAACACAAAGTAAATGATTTCTGAGTATGATGAATTATTCAAAGCTAAAAAATGTGCTATATTAATGAAAAGAGCTGTTGTCACATCACAAACATTCGGTATTTATCGAACTTTCGAATGTTGAAAAGTAAGTATTTCGTACTCCAATATGAACATAACATATGACGACTTTCTATCCTCTGGTTAATGTGATTGAATTGTTATTTTGATGTCATAATGTTGTTTAAACATTATCTTTTCCATAGCGACATAAAACATAGGAGAAAACGTCTGTTTGAAGCTAAACGTACTCTTCAGTTCTTTTTACTGTTTCTAGATATTAACGTCTAGTCCAGAACAGTGAACAAATATGAATTCAATTCGAATTATGTCGTCATCTGTTTTGGTAAATGTTGTTTTCATTTTTTCTAATTTTTTCGTACTATATCAATTCTGTGATTATGACAAATAAAATTATGTGAAAAGTAAAATGTCTGCTGACAGTAAAACATTGTAATGAGACTCAAAAAATAAATGTTATCGAGTGAATTATTCAAGTAGTTATACGTTACTTCATTTAGGGAAAGCAGTCTACCAATGGTTTTCGAATATTGTTACAAAATGTACGATATATGAGTAGTGACCCAGTAGTCGATCGTAGAACGAAAAATCAAAGTACTAGCGAGCAAAATAAATATTTTATGAGAAAAATATCCTAGATTAGCGCTCTATGATATTTAGATGAAAAAAAGTCAACGTCCAATAATCAAGGTGAAACTCGAAGTAGCGGCAAATTAGATAAAAGTGGATCAACAGCAGAGAAACAACAACAGAAAGGATCGACAAAATCAAAAAGAGATCATCAGGATACAGATCAACCAGGTAGCAGCTAGAAAATTAAAAGGTCTTGAAAAAACTAACATTTTATATGTTTAAAGGGGTAACACCACGTGATTGGCAATCGGGACAAAAACCTATTGGAAATGATCCAAAGTATGGAACGGGAGCATCAAATGAGCCTAATCCTGGAAAAACCACTTGATAATTGATTAATACTTATTCATGTACTTTTCTACGCAACTAATTGTTTTACTATAATTCCTTTTGAAAAAAACTCACGTTCACTCATCTTTTTTCACATAAAGTCTGATTGAATAACTTTCTTTGATTAGCATGAGAAAATAGATTTATGTAATTTTTTTTTGTATGTCGCTAATTTATATATAATACTTAGGACTGAATGTATCAACCTGGTGAATATCAATCAGGATAATTTGCTGCTTGCCTAATGCTGTTTTGCATAATAAACTGCTGTTTGGGCTTCCACGAAAACTGTTATAAATCGCTTATAAAGAAACTACTCAGAGTCGCAGAACGTCTCATTTTGTAGAGAAATGTTTGTTCTAGAAAAATCAGCTGTAAGAAAACACTTGAAATTATTTCTAACAAAAATGTGAGCATTCTAAAATGCACTAAAGTTAGAAAAAGAATTGTTCGAACAGGTATTTTTTCTGAATTGAGTGCTCATATTTGTACCATAGATAACTTCACAGATTTTTCTACTTATATGGGATTATAGTCCAAACATTTCTCTACAAAATAAGGCGTTCCGCAACTGTGAGAAAATCTTTTATAGGCGATGTATAACAGTTTTCATGGAAGCTCAAACAGCAATTTTTAACTGGTGCATACTTAGTTATTAGTTTTTTCATATCTTTAAAATTATGAAACTTTATTGTAAAATATAATAAATATACGTTGTATGAGTTCAACTTTTGTTCGTCATGAACATACAATACTTGTTTTAGATTAAAATTTATACAAATATAAAAAATATAAAATTAAGATGAGCACATTACAACTTCTTGGTTGTGCACGAGTAATTAAACATCATTTTAAAGTCGGATTATTTTCTTATGAAAGTATTTTATTTTATTTTAGCGTATTACATCTATTTTGCCTGTTCAACGGTCTGCTATTCGATTAGCTACTCGTCCCAGTGGCCCAACACAAGGAGGTAAAGATCAGGAAAAAAATAAAAAACTGTTTATTGATCTACACATGTCTACTACTTTTTTATGTTGTATAGGAGGCCAGAAGGTCAATGATGATAAACGAAATCCGGTAGATCAACCATGGAATAAATCAGCAAAAAAAGTTGGATCTGAACCTGATTCCTCTACACCAAGTCCCCAAGATTCTAAACAACAAGGTGAAACATATAATAAAACGCAAAAAAATTATGAACGTAATCAAAATTCTGACCAACGATCGAAATTTGTACAAGCGGATAAAGCACGAGAGAGTTTAGAACAACAAACATCAAATAAACACCAAGAATATGGTACACGCCTTTCTCATCCTGGAAATATATCAGATACACCATCGTCATCAAACTCAAGTACGCCACCGACTAGTAGTACTTCACAGAAGCAATCATCGAATAGACAGTCCGCTCCCGAAAAGAGAGCGGAAGGTGATAGTTTGTCACGTGGTTCAAAGAACACGATGGGTGGAAAGAAAGATGGTACTGAAAGCGGAGATAAATATACTTACAAGACACCAAATAAATCTGGATCAAAAAGTGTTAATAAAAGCAGTGGCGGTGACGGTAACAAAGATTCATCTCCGAAATAAATATGTTTTTCAAATTTAACTTACTTTTTATCTTATATGAACTTTCGTATGATTTATTTAAAAAAAATGGTAGTTGATTACTCTCTTTATTTTCTGAATAAAATAATGAAAAGAAAAAATATTATTATAGAACAGAAAATAAATGTTGTAATTTTTAGAGAATATCGTTGGAAAAAGAACGGATTAATCAGCTAGACAATTCTTGCTTTAGCTACAAAAGAAAATTCTCTGAAAGAATTCTCATAATTGTAAAGGAGGACACTAAAAAAGAATTTTTTGAAACATCGGAATTGGCCCATTTTTCTGTACAAAACCTTTTTTTTTTATTACAGACTTTTAGTTAACAATTGAAGGATTGTCTATTCTCTGCAAAATTCGTTCTTTTTTTAATATTTGCTTTCATGTTTATTACAGTGAATCTTCTTTTGATGTTTTACATCCCTTTCTGTCAAAAACTGGTGTTTTATCTAAAGATGTCTTCTATATTATACTCGCGCAGGTAGTCTGAGACATAAACAGCTTTTTTAAATAATAAAGTTTCCAGTATTTTTTTTGAAAATAAAATTTTTTCTCGAGTTTTACAATATAATCTGACTATGACAAAATCAATAACTATCAAGAAATATGATCGAATATATTTTGTATTTTAATTTCGAAAAAATGACGCTAAGAATAGTTTAAAAAGTTGACTTTGGGGAATCTATATGAATCATGTAGTTATCCATTTGTTAAAACGTCTCTGAATTAAGTCACATCTTTTACACGTATGCATCTCAACATAATATTAATTAGACGTTCGTACACTACAAACTAGTAAAAATTCTTGAGTGTGTTTCTTTTAAAAAAATCGTGTATAAAAAAAAACTTTAAAATAATAGCTAAATAAAATATTAATAATTATTTTTCTGAAAGAAAAAGACATTAACCATATTCAAATATTAATCGAAAATAATTATCTTTGGCTTAGAGTAACTTGGGGTAATTCGGGACAGCTTCCGACACTATAGTATCGTTACTTACTCTAAGTCTCCCTGAAGGTATACCTTCAGGAAGGATTAGAGTAAAAAGAAGACTAAACAAGCACATGTTGCTGATAGCTGATATTATACTCTATTCTTT